CTACGGGTTTGGCCCGTACTTGATTCTGACCATGGAGCATTGTTCCGTCCTTGGTTGAAACTCAAACTTTTCCTCCATCCCGTTGATATGGAAATGGATACTCCCCGTTACCACGTCAATGTTGGCTCCTGCGGTGCTAAGGAATGGACGCCCCAGGATGGGCAGCGTCTCCTTCGCCGTGTCCATGTCTAGCACCACAAAGTCAACCGGGATGAAGAAATCCCGTATCTTGACTGGCACATCCTCCGCTATCCCTGCCGGGTAACGGACTGACGAGTCAGCCAGTTGGAGGCGCATCGGTGTTGGTGCCAACACCGTGAAGTTGAGTTTGTCAAAGACGTCTTTTGGCATGACGCTGACGCTGGCTCCAAGGTCGCACAAGGCCTGGTTGAATTGTTGTGCCCCGATCGAGCAGGTGATCGTGGGACACCTCGGATCTTTCTTCTTTTCCAGGAGCTTGTGGAGTATCAGGTTGCTGCAGTGTTCCGTCAGCTTGACCACCTCCGTTGTTGGGAGCAGTCTCTTGTTGTTGAGTATGTCCTTGAGATAACGGGCGTATGTTGGTACTTGCATAGCGTCCAATAATGGCACGTTGATGTGGATCTTCTGGATTACTTCAAGAAAACGAGCTAACTGCTCGTCCACTGACGATTTCCTACTCCGCTGAGGGAATGGCAGCAGCCGTGTGTCGCGGTACTCCTACGGCACGGTCTTCTCTGGCTGAATCTCCTTGATGGCGTTTCTTTTGACATCCCATTAGTTCCTGCAGGGTTATGATACGGTGGATCACGAGTGGACTTATCTCCCCTCGTCGTGATTGCCTTAACATTTTCAATGGATGAGTCGGGTTGCCCCGGAATCCTCTCGGATTCATTTGCAGGGACTAAAGATGCCAATTGAGCTAACTGGGTTTCTATCATCTTGTTAAAGCTCAGCCAGTTTTGAAATGCGGAAGCTAAGCCATCTAGCTTGACATTTATGTTCTCTAAGATCTTATCATTGGCAGCAAGCTTTTTACATAGCGCATCAGTGGTTTTAGCTTGCGCGAAAACAAGATCCTTCAAGGAGGGTTGGTTAGAGAAGTTACCATTATTGTTACCTCCTTGATAATATGGGCGTGGTTGGTTCCACCCCTGACCTCCTTGTGGACGGTAACCGTTGTTGTTGCCCATGTACATCGCCTGCTCACGGGTTTCCGGGCAGTCGTTCCTAGAGTGACCCATGCCGCCACAGACCTCACATGTGACGTGTGAGTCCAAGGCCTTGATGGTGCCTTGTGGCCGTTTCTCATGGTCGTCCAAGCATTTCATGAGGAGGTCCAGCTTGGCAGCAAGTAACTCCGTCTCCTTGACGATGTGCATGCCTCGCTGACGGGTCTGTTGTCGTTCCTCGCTCCAGCCCATATTGGAGACCATCTTCTCTATGAGTTCAATGGCTCCTTGAACCGTTTTAGAGAAGAAGGCTCCTCCAGCTGCCGCGTCCAGGTGATCGCGGGACATCGGGGTGAGCCCATTGTAAAAGTTCTGCGGGATCAGCCAGTCGTCCATCCCATGATGAGGACAGGCGGCCACGTACTCCTGTAGTCGTTCCCATGCTTCCGGAATGGACTCATCCCTTGTTGCTGGAAACTGGAAATTTGTCCACGAAGGGCGTTGGTTTTGCCCATCGGGAAGAACTTCGAGAGGAATATCGTAGAGCATTTATCCCAGGTGTTGATAGCAGCACGGTTGGCATAGAACCACTGCTTCGCTCTCCCGAGGAGAGAGAACGGAAACAGCCGCAGCCTGACGGCGTCAGGACTGACTCCCTTGATGGTGTACGTACTGCATATCTCTAGGAAATGTTGCAGATGAGCGTTGGCATCCTCATTAGGCTTGCCACAGAAAGGGCTAGCCTGCGCCATCGTGATGAGGCTGGACTTCAAGTCGAAATCCACATCTCCTATGTTGACTTGCGGCCCGACGGCCACATTGTCAGCAGAGGGAGCAGCAAACTCGCGAAGAGTCTTGCTGGCCATTGTCTTGAAGGTTGGTGGCGCTAATACGGCTGGTTTCTCTGTCGGTAGAGTTTTCTGCGGAGCAATGACTCGCGGCCTGACACTCCGGAAGAAAGCTTCTGGATTTTCATTGAAGTTTTCCGGCAGGTTGAAACCAGTCATACACTACCCTGTTTTCACGACAAAAAGTGAAAACAACCAAGGTCAGCCTGCAAAGGAAAATGACTATACATAGGTAAATATAAAGTATTAGTTTAAGTAATCTCTATTATGAATCTTCCCTAGCAACGGCGCCAGAAATGCTTGTTGGTATTTCTTAATGATATTACTAGAAATATAATTCCCAGCAATGGCGCAGAAATACTTCTGGTATATTATGGTTACAGAGTTCATCCGCAAGCGCACGGATATACCATTGTAGCACTTCACCCAAGAGTATTCTAAGGGTATCATATTTATTTTATCCCGTGGGAAGATCATATAGAGAGAACTTAACTAATAATTTATATACTACTTGTGATAATCATATTCTAAGTAGGGGTTAAGATAATCCAAGGGTAGAGTGACACACAAGCATTTCTACTTATCCTCATAGTAAATAATCTAAGCTAGGTGGAAAGAAAAGATAAAAAAAATTTATTTCTATACTTCTAATATACATAGTATACATACATTCTAGTCAACTGATATACTAGCTAATACCCTCGATCCGATGCCCTCCTGGTACTTCGAGAAGCCACCCCTGACTGCCGAGTTCCTTACGACAGCCCGTCATGACCATCCAACCGGGGCTAAATACGGAGGAGTACCCTCCCTAGGAAATTAACTTAGGATTATATATAGGCGCGGAGGAATACCCGTATTGAGCTGTCACCATCAGCGGCCCACCTCTCATCCACAATATATAACCCCAAATAATGATATCCCGTAATCTAGACACCACGTCTAAACTACCAGATACTACTCTAATATCATCGTCATGACATAGAGTAATTGTATAAGCAAACACTATACCCGCACCAAAGCATCTCCCAGATAGGCTAGCAGTATATTCAGTACAACATGAACATAATGTAAAGTAGGTACTCATATAGTCGTAAAGTATTTCAATACTAGAAATGTATTTAGAAGAGTATTCTAATAAAAGTACAAAGCTTACAAAAGAGGAAAGGAAAGCTACTAGAGCCATACCCGAACTCTTCCGAAGGCTTCCGGACTCCTGATTCCTATTCTAATTCTATTCCACCAGCTAGATACTACTAAACTAAACTTGAGAGGAATGAGAGAGCTCTTGCTTGAGGTGTGTGTTGAAGTGAAGAGAGTGAGCTCCTTATATAGAGGTAGGTATGACGGTTGTGGAAGGGGAATTGTCCAAAGTACCCTCCAACCGTCATTGGGGTGCAATCTTGGATGTCCATGCCAAGCCCTGGCCTCAACGGTAGAGATGGGGGTTCAGCCGAACCCCCTGGTTCGACCGAACCATGGGCTGTCCTAAACCAGCCCATCTTCGGCTGGCGACTTTCTCTATTGCTCCACTCCGCAGACTTGTGAATTTTGGCCCAATTCATCGTGTCAATTCTGAGTTCTTGGCCTATTGATACTTAAGTCTGGTTCTCGACATCGTCCGATTGATTTATCATTTGTGTTGATGTCGATTATCCTCTACTTTATTGTCATTCTCTGCAAACGGTTAGTAGACCTAATACTAGTGGAATATTATTATTCTAACAACATTATGCATTGCAAGCATCACTAGTTCTCCTCTATTTTGGTCATATTGACGGTCGAAACTGATCGATAACGACCGTCAACAGTTGTGATATTATCTTTTGTTACTGTGTGTGCTAGCGTTGATCTGGGACTAGCACATTATACACAGAGGGATCCTAGTTGGGGTCCCGAAATATATGCTCAAAAGATTAGAGACATGTGATCTAGCAGCTAGTATGTGCTCCTCCACATTCCTTTGCTATGACAACAGCAAAACAGCATTAAGAGGTGTAAACAGGATAGTGCTCCTACTTGTTCACAACATACGGTTCCAACTGCCAGGTCGATATCTTTTGGTAACAAAGGGTTCTTACAGATAGAGGACAGCATAATTTATATATTCTTATAAATTTGAATAGATCGATGAAACTTTCCTGCTCCATGTAACCACAGTTGCAGCTCATAGAGAATAGAGTAAAGTGCACAGACGGTCCTTAAACTTGTAACGGTGTGTCATCTAAGTCCCCAAACTCTTAAAATGCATATCCAGGTCCTAGAACTTGTCAAAGTGTTTCATTTAGGTCCTAAATCGATATAACCCCTCGTGGATCCTACGTGGCGCTGATGTGACATGCCACATGGACGTGATGTGTCTTTTTTTTCTTCTTTCCTTTTTCTTTTCCGTTTTCGTTTTCTTCTCATTCTTTTTTTTCCTTTTTTCTGCTCAGGTCACAGAGAAATGAGAAGGAAAATACCAGAGAAGAAAAAAAAGAAAATTTTTAAATGGGTCTCATTTGTCAGTCAAAATTATGCCATGTCATATCCGTGTGACATGCCACATCAGCGCCGCGTAGGATACTGAAGGGGCTGTGGCGATTTGGGACCTAGATGATACACTATGATAAATTCTGGGACTTGGATATGCATTTTGAGAGTTTAAGGACCTAGATGACACACCGCTACAAGGCTGATGGATTCATGAACTTGTTCCTGGTCACTTTTGTTAATTGGAAGTTATGTATTTGTTAATTGGAAGTTCTGTACCTACTGAGAATTACAAAACCAAACAATGAAATCAACTGTGACAGGGAACAAATTACACCAAGTATTTGAGGATTCTCTCCTTCTTGACCATGAGCATTTCATTGAACTATTTTTAGTCTTTGGATGATTCATCAAGGGTGTAAATTGCATCTCTTCATATCACCTCAATTATTTTTAGCCATTCGATGATTCATCAAGGTTCAAGGGTATAGATTGCATCTCTTCCTAAAAGGCAAACCATCCAACCCAATGATTTATAACCTCTGGATAATTGATAAATGTACAAAAATATATAAACATATAAAAAAATCGTATAGTAGGTAAGAAAGAAAATTTTAGAACTCATATATACTATATTATCACACAATTCTCCCGCAATAACACGTAGGGTGCCCATCTAGTAATATTAAAATCCCCTCCCATTACAAATATATCCTTTAGATTCTGACATATTGTAGCTAACTCTGTCGGAAACAAACTTTTACTACCTCTGCCCACAAACTAGAGAATTTGAGTGTGTCATTGTACGGTAATGTGGAGGAGAACCCAGCCTTTGTAAAATTAAGGACCAAACTTGCCAGCTGAAAACACAATTGATCATGATATGTTTTATAAACTCCTCAACTTGATCATAAATAGGGCAAACCACCGGGTGAGGGAAGCCCTTGGCATATTGTAGATAGCCAAACCAGTTCGATCACGAGTTGGCATACTGATATCCCCAATTGACACACATGACAACAACTAATACTTAAAAGCTAGTCTGCTTGTTGAGTTGTTATATTAGACTACACGTTACTTCAATTTACTCTAACAAATCCCTTGTTTAAAATTTATGGTCTTTAAATGTAGAAACAACCGTAGGGAGAGTACCTGGGATGACACTAATGTTTTACCTGCAAGTACAGTGTGATTATTGTGATGGTGCTCTTCTCAACCTCACTCTCAATATAGCTAGTAAAATAACGCGTGAAAAGTGTGAAGAGCTCATCGAGTATAGAATCCCCGAAATGGCTTGCGATAAGGGACTCTGTCGCCGCCCTTAATTAGGGTCGCAGATGTGCTCTGTCCAATGGCCTGAGCAGCAGCAGGGCCCTCTACTGGCTCCGGGTCATCCATGCAGTTTCCATCCATCTCAAAGAGTTGGATGTCACTTATGTCAATTAGGTCGTTATGACACACCAACTGCTTTAGTTCATCAACTGAAGCACAATAAATTGGTATGTTGAAGGAGTCTAGCTTCTCCTTCTCAACGCGACCCTGTTGTGAAAAATGCAAATTAATTAAATAAGTGATAAGAGTATAGCTTTTCCATGTACGAGTGACTGTATGTATATATGTATGAGTTGGATTTTATTTCCCTTCTAACTGAAATCAATGTCCAACGAAGTGAGACGTTGTAAAACGATGGATCAGATTGTTTCTTGCCCTATTTCTACTAGTAGTATAATAAGAGACCACAATATATAAAAGCAAGAAATAAAATAGTCAACTTTATTTGAAAAGAAATATCTGTCAACTATGTTCATAAATTTAAACATTTCTTGTTTGTCAACAAGCATAGGCATAGTTTAACATTATTTTTTACATGCTATGGATTTTCATGAAGAATTTGATTAAGTACCAACACACATCCCAGAAATTTGAAAAAGTATTTAGAGTGTTTGGTTTTTTACTAATATGGCAGTTGGTACACTTGGAGATTTTTTCTATTAAAGGATAACATTATGGTTTAAATAATAATATGGCGCTCATATCATGTGAGTTATACCTCAGCAACAAGAGTGCGCAACACCTGCGAAAGCAACTCAAAACCAATGGTCGTCCTTCCTGCATCGAACACATCTTTGCTCCTCCTCCCAACAAGAGTTAGCACCATCCGGCCTCTGGGCACGATCTCTTTGCATCGCATCCGGAGGAATTGCAAAAAGTCCTTCTCAAACTGATTTTGGTAGAGCTTTGTCACCATTGGCGGTGTAGTTGCCCCAATGTAAACATTCCCTTTGTTCATGCTGCCATCGAGATTTTCAGGGACCTATCCAAACAGCAAACACAAAGCCCCAAAGGTCAGGAATGTTAGGTCCTAATTAAGTTTATGCAACGAGACATATATAAACAAGCTTCACCTGAGAGAGCCACATGACACTCATGGAGGAATGGAAGAAATGGACGCTGTTGCTTGGGAAGAGCCTCGTGTAGAAGGAACCTGCCATAGCTGCAACATAATACGGAGGAGGTTGTAACCCTCTGCAGGTAAAATGTTGTTTTGTCAACAGCTCAAACTACTCTAGTGATTGGAATATGTGGTTGAAGTCGTTGCTAGGTAGGTCATTGAGGAAGAACTAGATCTCCATGGCGCTCTCCTCGATAGCATTGTTACCATTTTCACATATTGTGGTGATCACATCGGAGACAAAGAGGAGTGTATTGGCACCGAATGAGCAACCTAGATCAACAATGGTCATTGATTGAGGATGAAGATCACTGCCCATTTCTCTTACAGCTTTCTCGACCATTGGCCTGGTTGTAAGAATAGCTCTTCTCTAAAAAGATATGGAGCAAAAAGTAAAACAAAAATTATTGTCAAAGAAATATTACTCTTGGATTTTCCAACTCTAATGCAGTTCCGCGGTAAGGGGTAGTAACGGACCACAATCCATGGATCTTTCACAACCCAATTTAGCCGACATATATTCTTAGATAAAAAAAATCTCCAAAAATTTAGCCCACCTTTCTTTTCGCACAACTAAAACTTTGTAGGTTTAAAAGTGAGACCGATTACCACTCCATCCGACGTGAAAGTGAGAAGAAAGTGTGGTGCTGTTGCCGATTTGGCACATAACTCTAGTTAATTTACTCAACATGTACTACATATGTACAAACAAATGTTTATTAGCAGTTATCCCATATGCTCTCTTTATATATTACTACTGAGTACAATCTATAGTGTTGGAGATAAATTGCTTAATATTTTTTCCCAGGACAGCATATATATGTGTAGCTTGTGATAAATGAAACAACAACTAATAAGGACACAAATAGAATAAAGGTAGGGTTGGTACAAACTTGTATCCTAGAATTCTCGGCATAGCTGAACTCGTCATCCCCTTTCATCATGTGGAAATCGCGATCAATCTTCATGGCTTTAAAATGCTTGGGGTAGGAATTGAACCCTATATATATTGCTATCTGCCCAAACAACACAATAATAACATGTTATATGGAGTATGAGAAGTCACAGGAGCTCTCCGGCGTCCACCGAACAGCGGCAGTGTGGTGCAAGGGGTCTCTCACCTAGAAGAAGCCAGACGAGCAGCGGAGATCGGATAGTCGCCGCGCGCCGCGGCGGTGGTGGTGGTGAATCAGAGCAGAGCCGACGAGCTAGCAGCGGGCGGCACACCAGCTGCTCGATGAAAGGTCTAGTCCTGGGTATAACGGAAAACACAAGGAGCGCGCGGATGTAATGTTGAGCTGAGCGAGAGCTAGCTAGCAGCGGCTTTTTGTAGCCACGGCGGCCACGCATGGTCGTTCTGGCGCCCCGCGCGCGGCGCGCGGAATCTTGCCACGCCACGCCAGTCGCGAGCACGCGAGATCCGTCGGCTGATTCGCTGCAGGCAGGCGGCCTCGAATCTCGAGGAACCCGGGAGATTATTTTCTCGCGGAGACCGAGCGACACCTTGCGCGCGACGCACGCCGGTGGACACGCGGACACGAGGGCCGACGTCGACGACGCCACCAGCGAGCCGATCGAGCGCCCCGGCCTCGTGGCCGGCGCGCACGTGACGCGCGCGTGCGCACAAGACGGAGCAGCTAGCAGATCAATATGCAGCGTGCATGTACCGAGATGCAATCCAGACCAACCAAGGAACACGTACGTGCGGCAGCATCACGACGTAGCAGTGTGCTAAGAGCAAGTTTAAGTTTTATGGTATAGCCAACTACTAGCTTCAATTTATTTATAGCCAATCTAATAGCCAATTTATACAATAGGTGCTTACTATACTATTAATATATGGTCCCATCTGTCATACACATATTGCGTCTTGGAGTCCGCGTTGTGGCTGGCTACAAATCTATAGCCCGCTGCTTTTATCTCTTATCTTTTATCTCATTAAAATATGTTTATACTTGGCTAATAGTCTGTTATTGTACCTGCTCTAACTAATGATAGATTATGTGTTATTAAATCGATTTTCTTTTGGAAACACTGTTTAGTTAAATATATGTGATTCGAATTTTGGGCCCACAATATATTCGAATTAGTTTCCTAATAGAACTTGACTATTAGGATTAATTTCCTAGTACTCCCTCCTTCCTAAATGTTTGACGCCGTTGACTTTTTTAAACGTGTTTGACCATTCATCTTATCCAAAAATTTTTGTGAAATATGAAAAATTATGTGTATACATAAAAATATATTTAACAATGAATCAAATAATAGGAAAAGAATTAATAATTACTTAAATTTTTTGAATAAGACGAACAGTCAAACATGTTTAAAGAAGTCAACGGCATCAAATATTTTGGGATGGAGGGAGTATGACTCTAAGTCTTTATCCATTAGGCCTTCTAAATTTATCCTATATATATCTCATGTAAGCTGCACGGGGAGGGTGACACAGCCCAATGTATCCCCTGTGTTTGTATCCAATTCCTCTATAGTAATCATTGCCGGTCGGCGCCCGTGATTTTTCCCGCAAGGGTTTTCCACGTAAAAATTCGTGTCTCTGTTGTGCATCTATTTTTTTAGCAAGTGGTATCAGAGCGTTGGAGATCCGATCCGCAATTCCCCCGCTGCCGTGTTCATCATCCACGTCGGCGTCGTTGTTCGTTTGATTGGGAGATAGATCTGCTACCTAGTTGCGGTGGAGATCGTCATCGTGCAGGTTTAATCTGTTCGGTGAGCTGGCCGAGTTCTGCCGATTCTATTCGACGAGGTTGATTCATCTGTTCCAGAGATGAAGTTGCTGCCGTCCAAAGCGGGATTCGACAGATGAATTATATATATGTTTCGACGTCAAGACTCATATCAAGACGGAAGCGGAGACGTGGAGTCAAAATCTTTACAGTAGAAGCGCAGGCCATCTACCGAGGAAAATCAAGTTAACCAAGGTTAGGGCTTCGCCATATGTTCTGTTGATGTGCATTCAATTTCACGTTGTTTTTGCTAGGCATTCACGGCCGGGAAATCAAGTCCAGTGCATTGTTCTGGTTCGGTTCAGGGGAATACAAATTCAAGTTCAATTGCTAGGTTCACAAAGCCAAGTTTCCCAGGAGGTTCTGTACGGAGATCCAATTACTTCGTTTTTGCACCTAGAGTGTTTCGCGATTCTACTAGGGTTCCCCAAATTATACCAGCAGATTAAGGATTTTATTCCTAAGGCGAGTGAAGTTTGATCTACCGCTCCTGGATTGAGATGTAATATTCTCATTATGGCAACTGAAGATGCAAGTTGGCACATCTATTATGGAGGAGAAGCTAATACATACTTCAGTCTATCAGTTGCGCATACATATTTCATGACACACAAGTTTAGTCGTCGAGAGGGAGCCTCAAGGTTCCTGCCCAGATCACGTGGAGGTGGTCAAATTTCTGGCGGAATTGCTATGTCCGTTTGCCCAACGTATCAGAAGGTTAATAAGGAGATCTAAGTATTTCGTTTCGAGCACAAGAATTTTTCGTGTTTCTGCTAGGATTTCAGAAATTAATGCCAGCAGATTCATGGTTTTATTCCCATGGTCAGTTTAAAGTTTGTGCATCAGTTTCGCGTCTCTATTGGGTTCCACAATGTCATACCAATAAATTCAGGATTTGTTCCCAATGGCGAGTTTTTAGTATGATCTACCTCTTCTGGATCAAAGGTGTTACAGTATAGTCATGGAGATTATTTGGCGCACAGTGATTTTATCTCATACGTGAGGTTATTTGGAGATTGAAGATTTTTATGCTACAAGGGAAATTCGTCTCAAGGTGGAGAATTGCTAAATATGTGTTCCGAATTTTGGACCCACAATATATTCGGATTATGTTCAATGGACCTTTTTCAATGGAAATACAATGGTAAGAAAAAAATTAGATAGAAAAACTCAAAAAAATAAAGGCTTATCTTGGAATAGCACGACATAAATCCAGTCAAAAATAGGATTAAGAAAGAGGCAAATTATTTCTAATAGTTAGACAACAAGGGATACTAGTGAGCCTCTCCTAGTTTTTTATTCATTTAGTTCTTCAATTAACTCAAAGTTCTTTCTTTTTCTTTAAAGAATTCCGCCTTCCTTAAAATATCAGAAACTGTTCTCGTAGGTTGAGCACCTTTTTCAAGGAAATAGAGAATAGCCGGAACATTTAAATAAGTTTGATTCTTTATCGGATCATAAAAACCTACTTTTCGAAGATCTCTTCCTGCTCCAATTCGTAATAGAACTTGACTATTAGGATTAGTTTCCTAGTATGACTCTAAGTCTTTATCCACTCGGCCTTCTAGATTTCTCCTATATATATTTTATTGTAAGCCGCACGGTGAGGGTGTCACAGCCCAATGTATCCCTATGTTTGTATCCAATTCCTCTATAGTGATCATTGCCGGTCGGCGTCCGTGGTTTTTTTCCACTAGGGTTTTCCACGTAAAAATTCGTATCTCCGTTGTGCATCTATTTTCATAACACATTATAGCTGCCAGCAAACGTAAATGTGCGCGCACTTGTCTACCTGAACGTCCACGTGCATGTACGTAGCCCCATCAGTAGTACTAGAATGTAGGCCAACCATATACTCCCTCCGTCCCTAAATATTTAACGCCATAGACTTTTTAAAATTTAAACATGTTTGACAGTTCATCTTATTGAAATTTTTTTTGTGAAATATATAAAACTATATATATACATAAAAGTATATTTAATAATGAATCAAATGATAGGAAAAGAATTAATAATTACTAAAATGTTTTGAATAAGACGAACAGTTTTAAAAAAGTTAACGACGTCAAATATTTAGGGGCGGAGGGAGTACTTTCGTGGAGGAGAGAGAACAAGGAAAATGCTGAGTGCTAGCTATATACATTCTCCTAAGCAAATGCATTAATTACATAGATAGAGGAGAAGAAAATTAGAGATAACCTTATGAATAATCTATTATATATGTTAAATCGTAGATTGACTTATCGCAACTAGTTAGCTACCTCTACTGTTAAACTTATTACTCTTATAAGCATCTTCGAAAATTGGTTCGACATATTTTATGATTAACAAAGTCAGTGTTGACACCCTGCTCTCGTTGCTGTAAGTAAATATGTAACTAGACCGTTAAAAAAATTGCATTTTTTGGAATTTGGGATAATGGTATGAGCAGATAATGGGTATTGAACCTGTGCATGGTCGATTCACAATCCACTAACTTTATGAGCATCTCTGATGACTGGATTGGTTTTACCACCAGGAATCTTATTAGTTGAGTTTTTTTGTTCAAAAAAAAAAACTAGGAGAGCAAACCCCCTATTTCCACTAAGCAAAATGAGAAGGTACAAGTAACCCAAGTTCATAACAACTCGCCAACTCGCCAACTTTACCACTCCTCTTTTCTAGGTTTCATCCACCATGGTTAGGGGAGAGTAACTAGCAGTTTTCATGTTTCTAGACAACTACCATTACAAACACAACCTACCAAAAAAGTTTGTTCCCAACAGCTACTTGGCAAAAACCCTTGTTACATTCAGAAAGAAATCAGAATAGCCACAACAAACCCTCAGCAAGACATCAGCCTCTTTGTTCTTTTGTGTTCTTAGCATTGCAACCTCCTTGATCTGAAGCTCCATCCATGGTAAGCACCATAGATCTCACTTTTCGCTCACGCCTGGCCCCTTCTTGAAGGTTTCTTGCCCCTGCCTCCTTGCTCTGCAACATGGCTCAATTGGAGATGTGGTAAGTAACTTGAAAAACAACTTCAATTGGATCATTATGAAGTATAAAGGCAAGCTCTCCTCAATTTCCAGATCGACCATATATAGTACTGCAGCGATCCCTACAACAATGAGCCTACTAGCCCTCTTACTGAATTTGATTAGCCAGGCACCCATTAGATTTTGCATCCAGTTTGGTGTACTATAGGCAAAAAGGATACAATTCAAAATATTCCACACAAACCTAGCTAAATGGCAATGGAAAAGCATACGATCAATTGTTTCTTTCTCGTTACAGAACTGACATTTGTTGTTACCTTTTCTCCATTTCTTTTTAATGAGGTTATATTCAGTCAGGACATTGTTTCTACGAGCTAACCAAGTGAACACTTTGATTTTGACTGGAATCTTAAATTTCCAGATCTTTTAGAAGGGATATCTACTTTCCTATTGTTGACAACAAAATTTAGCACTAGGCCAAATTTATAGAAATTTTGGATCAAATTTTGAATAAACCGGAGCTTTCCCATGGAGGCCGGCCGTACTGGAGGGTGACCTATGGTCAGACCGCAGGTGTTCCGTTGGTTGGACCCGACAACCCCAAGTCTGAGTTTAATTAAGGTTGT